CATCCTCAATTAGATTCTACATGTATCACGGCATGCACTTTAAGCCCAAGTGTAAAAAAAATACCCCACCCCCTCCCCCCGTCCACACTGGTTAAGTCCCGAAAAACACCTCGACCAATGCGACCGGTGTGAATGAACTTTGTTGACCCCGACAGCCGACGGTCCCCGACACACGTGCTACACGTGCTACTCACACGTACGAGGCCATGTCACGTGTTGCGAATGAGCGTTTGAAAGTTCCACTGACAGGTCTGATGAGCCCGACTAACCAGAACTCAGACGATGCTTGCTTTTAAAGCAACGGCAGAACAACAAATAGATTATTCTTAGGCCCATGGCATAATTGTTACAGTAATCAGGACACCATCAGAGAATTCTGGGTTATAAAAGCGTAAGTATATCTTGAGCGTATCCATGTCGGAATTCAAAATCGATACTACGTAAGTTTTAGTTCAAATAACGTGCGTGAGTCATCTGCTGGATTCGGCATAGATGCTTCAGAAAGTAGCGTTCCAAGTTCCTGGCGATAAAAAATCCAATCGGTACTTCCAAGCAAAAGAGATTGCATAACTTTTTATATTTTTTTACCTAGAATCGGACGCAACAGACGCAACGACAAAAAATCAGGATACTGGCGATCGAAATCAGGAAAATCGGGATGCTTGAGATTTGGGGCAAAAAATCAGGATATCCCGATTAAATCGGGATGAGTGGCAGGTCTGTAATACACAGAAACATCAAAAGGAAAGAAAAGATGTAGGATCTACCTTTGGAACTCTTCAATCACCTGCACAAGTTCTCACCTGTGGGTTTGTAGTTCAAGATGAAACAGAAGCGCATTAACATAATATAGCTAATTTAATCATGAAATGAGCAAGTCTGCATAAATGTGAGCTATCGTGGTGAAATCAGGCGCTCGTCAAAATAATGAAATCGAAGAAACCGGCATTTTTCTGCTGGTCTGGCAATTTTTTTTTTTTTTTTGACTCAACACCTTGTATGTCCATACAAAACCATTCTTATGTGTGAATTTTATAGAAAACCATTGACTAAAAGCATGAAAAATGTAACTTTGAGGTTTCTAAGGACTCCAGTTATGAAAGTCACCAAATTTTGGCGGTCATTTTCTTGCTAATTTTTTAAACCTGGCACCCCCACATCCTTCAATTGCAAATATCTCAACTTCTATTCAAGAAAAAAGGAAATTCTTTTCATTGACAGCAAGACAAATTAACAACCTTTTTGTTAAGATGATACCAATAATTCCATATGCCCAAAAATTGACGAGTGCCTGAAGCCACTGTGACATGACACAAATAATTTTTTGTGTCGCGACACGGTGGAATCAGGCACTCATCAAATTTTGGGCATATGGGGTTATTGGTATCATCTTAAAGCTTGTTCATTTGCCTTGCTTTTGATGAAAAGAATATCCATTTATCTTGGATACAAGTCGAGATATTGGAAATTGAAGGAGGTGGAAGTCACATGGTTTCAGAGGTAAAATTTGCACGAAAATGGCCGCCAAAGTTTATTTCCTTTGCTGAAGAGTCCGTGGAAACTGAAAATTTACACTTTTGTGCCTCTAATCAATGTTTATCAATAAAATCCACACAGAAATGTGTTCTTTAATGGACATAGAAATTTGAAAAACATTCCAAAACCTGCAGAAAAATGCCAGTTTCTTCATTTCCATTATTTTGACGAGCACCTGCATTCACCACGCTGTCTCACATTAGTTTTGTACACGTCTTAGCTATGATAAGTGTTTTTTGCAATTTTTTATCGGGGTTCAACACCCCATAAGACATAAACAGGTTTTTCTAATGAATGCAGAGTACTTGGCCCTAAGGAAAGACTAAAATACTAAATGTAGGCTTGAAGGTTGGGACAATGAGGCGCTAAAATAAATTTTATATATTGACATTAAGCATAAACATCTACTCTACACGAGATGCTCTTTCACTAGGAGGGTCACACATCCTGCAGCAGTTTAATGGGTCTAGGGTCTATCTTTTACACCCCATAATCTTAACAGGAAACGGGAAAAAAAGGGGGGGGAGGGAGAGAGAGAGAGAGAGAGAGAGAGAGAGAGAGAGAGAGAGAGAGAGAGAGAGAGAGAGAGAGAGAAGGGGGGGGGGGGAGAGAGAATGTGCAAGATGTAATGGAACAACTGAGTAGCTTAATTACCCATTTTGTCAGTCTGGCTGCCCCCCAGTTCCGGCGACCGCTCCAGGTCCAAATCGATGACATTGCTGGTGTTGACAAAATTCAAATTTCCTGGGGGCGGAAAAGGAGGAAGTTTCAGTAAACAATCTGTTCCCAAAAAACAAAGGAGTAATACTCATTTTGACAGGACACCTCCCGTATAATAACAAATTCATCTGAAAAAACAATCAATTTTCATTCCTTTACTTACCAAAATTATCAATGATATGCATGCAAAAAAAACCCAAAAAAACCCAACCTAACAACAAGATCAATACTATAAAAAGAGGGATACGAAGATCTGCCAAGTTGACTTATAGAGTGCTATACTGGCCAAATGTACTCTTCCAGCTAAATCCTTCAATAATTTTATGTCTCACTTTCCCCTTAAGCAATACATGTAACAAAAATACATGTCTGATACATAATGATTTTTTTTTGTTCTGAGTTTTCATCTGAACTTAAAACAGAGTACAGCTTGGTGAGTCTTTTAAAAAAATCAGGAATGGGGAGGGGGGGGGGGGTGGAGAGTGGAGATTCATATGAAAATTATACATTACCAGACAAATTATACATCATATGAAAAGTATTAAAAAGAAAGAAGAATGAAGGACTTTGTAGCAAAATACACTGCATCCAAAATGTGAAAACAAAGAAAAAGTTTATTATTCAATTCACTACCTGTACGCTGGTAAATTTAAAAAAGCTGAATTGAAGCAGTATAAAATCATTATCCCCAACATGTTTTGTCACAAAATAATTTAAGCAGTAAAGGTTAGGTTTCAATGTGCAATGGAAAAGGAAACCCAGAGTTTGAATATCAGAGATGACCCATTTTATCACAATGCCCTACATATATATATACAGATCAGAGGAATGTAAATCAGAATGAATACCACTTCTTTCTTACTTACCCGCACTCACTTCACCACCAGTATTTTTTGTACCTTCTGCAGCAACAGCTGAAGAGTGCTGAAGTAGAAAAAAAAAAAATCACAGAAATGTTCTTAAATAATGTTATAAAAAGTTATCACATTAATTGGGCATTAATTTTTTTACATTTTTAACTAGAGGATCTGATATAGAACATGAAATCATTTTTTTAATGTTTCAAAACACTCAAGAAACACTATCGCAATTAGTTAACATTATGTTGTAAAGTTACCTGCAGTACAAAGATAATTATTCTATTTCAAACACACCGCATATTTTTCTTATTTTCTTATTTTAACTGACACAAGCATCATGAAGCCTAGAAAAACTCAAAATGGGTCTAAAGGAACGGCTCTGACAGTGCACTGAAGAGGCTATCAGTTGAAGGGAATTGTGTTAAGAATTATCAGAATTATCGCACACAAAGTCACAGGAAAGAAAATGTCTCCAATGCTGTGAATTACAGAGGAACCTGTCCAAGATGATTACCCAGTGTATTACACACAAAAAATGCCAGAGCGAGGACGGGGTTGAGAAGTAGTCATTTGTACAGGAGATTGTCTTGGACAGGTGGTGGCTAGAGCAAGTCTAACAGTAGTTCAATACACAAACTGAAGGTACAAAAAAATACCAAATCTGCACCATAAAAAATTTCAAAAGTTCTCATACAATACATTAAATACATGACAAATAAATTGAAACTTATCAAAACAAGATTCCAAAACCAGAAAAAAAAAAGAAAGCTTACTTGTTGAGACATTTCTTTCGACTGAAACAGGAGGACACAGGAAAAGAAAAATGACAAATATGCATGACTAAAAAGATAATAAAAAGCTGCATTTTTTATATTGCCCTCTACGGAACTGTGGCATGAGAGAGAGAGAGAGAGAGGG